GCGCAGCTGCCGCACGGCGCCCACGTGCACCCGGCGCCCCTCCCGCAGGTACCGCCCTTCGTATCTTCCACCTCTTTATTCGTAAATCATCATGAATTCCGGGAAGCGAAGGCGTTGGTCCCGTAAGTGTAGTGCATGTTTCATCGATTTCCCTCCCTCGGCTAGATGGCGAGATCCGGCGCCGACCTCGACGTTGGCTTGCGAGGACGATGGTTCTCAATAAAGAATCTTCCACCAGCCGGGGGCTGCCGCGACAGTAATTGCTAAGCTTCCGACTGGTGTGGTAGTGTAGTGCATGTGTGTTTGTAAGTAAGGGGGAAGGAAAGATGGCGCGTGGTCCGTGGTCTGTGTGTTAGGTACTGCCCCAGCATTCTAGTGTGGATCGGAGAATTCACGGAAAATTACCGAGAAGAGTAACAGGCCGCTAGAATTATCCTCCAAATAGCGTGTGAATTCGACCTAACTGACAAGCTAGTATCGAATATCCTGCCACTATCAGGACTCGAACTCTGACCTCCCGGTCAGAGGCACTGTAGTATCATCATTTGATTCACTGATCAACTTTGGCCGGTCAATGCTTTCAGTGTCTGGCATCAGTCAGTTTTTTTTTCCTTTTTTTACGCAACTACTTTCATCAGCCCTTCTTGGGCTTTGAGTCCATCTATATACCTTAGAGAAATTTTACATTAAATTATTTGTAGTTTCTCGTAACATCGCTGTCAGTCCATGCCTTTTTTTTGCCTTTGGCGTCAGCGCAGTTAGTATCCGAGCTTTCGAGTTGGTCACGAATTGCTTAACTTCCGTGACTTCACGAAGCCTAGTTACGCAATTCGGCTAACGACGCAGACTTCAGTTCATAAAACACCATCGCACGTTCTGCATTGTTCTGGCGAAGCCCTCGGACTCTATCTAGTGCCGATGGTGGCGGATATTCGACGCTAGTTAGATATGTAGTATGAAACCAACCACTGTCAGCAGAACTCTAATTCGGAGTAATTGCTTTATTACTTGACGCGCTCAAAATAAATAACCTAAAAATGGATATGGCCTTTGCAGAGTTTGGTCGGAGTTGAACAATAATCTTTAAAACTTTATGAATTATAAATCCGTTGCACTTTCTTATTAATTAATAATAAATAATAAAATTCCAAACAATAAATTATTTGTGTGTTTAACCCTTTCGTACTAATTGCATACCATAAATATAGAAACCAAGCTGGCTCATACGAAGTGTTCGGTGCTAGTCTTCGGGACAGTTACCTCTTGCAGCCACCTAAAGCCGGACTTTATACTTGAATTCAACATTTTCAATGTCTAGATTATATATGTTGAGAACCCCATGCTTATTGTACATGGTCAATGTATCGCAATTTATTATTGTTTAACCCTTGTGAACATGTTTGCTGGGTTAGTTTCACACACTTGAGAACGCATTGACGAGGTATTTGTTTGCAATTAAGGTTTATTTAATGAAAATCGATTTTGCCCATTACCATCACCATCAACTTGTTCATTAAAACCTAGACTATTTAGTTTTCCTCATCTCAGAAAGCTTGAAATGATCATTGGAGTATTATAAATGTATTACATATTTTCAACCCGTTCTTAAGTTTCCAACACGTTAATCTTAAAGCGGTAGGTTGGTGAATTCTGTTCATCAGACTGGTTTTTTTTCCTATCACATTCTTGTAAAATTCAACAATACACAACGGCACACTTACTGTCTTCCTAGTAATATCTGCTCGTGACCTCGAAGTTATTTGATAACATTTGGAGATAGTGTGCAGTTTTTAATTTATTTTCTGATGGGCGGTATTGTGTGGACAGAATCCACCAGGCGCCTGTCGATGCAAGTAAAACCAAAAAGTAGTTTCACTTCATGAACTAGTATACTTTTACATTTCAGAGATTGTTGTATTTCAAACATATTTTTGAAATTGGTTACAAAAATGGTAAGTTAACTGTAATGTGAACGAATGAAAAACCGGGTGACGGCGATGAAGTGAGAAATAAATTCTCACTGTATAAACAAGTCACCCAATATAAATGTGTAAAGTATGACAATGTAATTTATTTAGATGGAAAATAATTGATACCGATAGTTTAAAATATTTATTTCAAGCCTCTCTTCGTGATTGCTTTTGCACCTAATATTTGTGTTATTACACTTTGTTAAATTTTACTAAGTTTATTTAATACTTTTATTGGATTTAAGAGCAATACTGGTAACGACAGGAAATATCAATACCCGTTTTTACATGACTTGTTTTATTTATGAACCGAAAAGTCATAATAATGGTAGAGAACGGAATCGCTCGGTAACTTAGAGACCGCTCTAGCGTTAGAAACGTTATGTGGCTTGTTAAGCAGTGGAGAGCCAGAATATCACAGTATAATATGTCTTATGCGGTCAGTCAATTTTCCAAAGAAAATAACCGTTTAGTACTGGTGGGGTAGTATGCATTTCTTCTGAACTTCTTTTATTCTACATAGACCTACGTGTCATTCCAGGAAATGTTGATCGTGAATGAGGTAATCGCTTAATCGAGGTGGTCGCTTCATCAAGTTTTGCTATACATTTAGAAGGATTGAAAATGTTTCATAGTAGAGACTTGACTTAACACTCTGTATTTAAGCCTGAATTATATTTTACAGACCTACGGCGCTTCGCAGGGTCATCACGCTCCGCATTTTCACAACGTCCAGTACGCTCAACGGTCGCGCGACGTTCGTCACGCTCACCAGGCACCCTACGCTCACGCTACAACCAACAGACCGCGCAGAGGCAGGCGTCAACGTGGTGGAAAGGGCCGTCAGCGACGCCACTCCATTTAGCCATTGCTGTTTAAATTCCGTGTTACAGCGAAGTAAAAAAAAAAACAACTCGCGGACAATCTGTGCGATGAAGTGAAGAAGTGTTGCTGGTTCTTGACACAAGTTAAATTGGAAACATCCTGTAAAGAACAACTAAGCGAGTTTGGAAGCTGTGTTGCCATGGAGAAGACCACATACTCGTTTACAACTGACCGCTTGGGAATATTGCAATCCTGAAGACAATGGTTTAAAGTACACCCTGCTAACTACCGTTGGCACATTTCTCATCGTTTGTGGAGCTAGTATTAAAGTTGACAATGGGCCTTCACCAAGCCCCTCAGGTGAACGAAGCATTGTGAGACTGATGTGGTTTGCCTTGCGGCTGTAGGCAAAGCCGATGGTAACAAACATGGCGAACGTTCTTAGCAAGGTTTCAGTTTTATTGGTTCCCTGCTATAACTGAAGACGGCAATTGCCCAGGAATAATTGTGGGAGAGGTAAATAAGCATTATTTTGTCATGATAATTGTAAAATTGCATATTTAACTAAGCTTCGGGATTTTATCCTTGACCGCTTTCTCCATTTACTGCTTGTCAGTTAATAAGGAGTAGAGCGCACAGGGGCCAGCTTGATGGCGGTAATTAAGAAGATTTTTAAATTAGTTTTATTCATTTTTATGAACTCTTAACTAAAGTACAAGGTAAATTGGTTTTAACGTGTTGCACGTAGTCGTAGACTTCGACGTTAGTCGAAAATTAGAACAATTTTTAGTCGTTGTGTAACACAATCTGCACCTCGTTAGGCACCACACTTCTGACTAAATTCGCATCCTTTTCTCCAGAACTTGAAGGGGGTAATGTGGGGACGAAGGATTGCTAACAGAAGTTTACGGCGTCACAATTGTTTCATATTAATGTGTAAGGTTTGTAGCTCTGGATGTGGTCCGAACGAGAGCGAAGGTAAACCGTGTTGTTTGTGCTCAAAGGACAGCTACAAAATTGATAAATATTTTAATCTATACTTTAAGTAATTTTAAATACACAAGGATGCAAGGATCTTGCATTCCAATTCGCTGGAAGACATCCACAGATTAAGAACAAAACATAAATCGCCAGTGACTAACTCCCAAAACATTGATGACAGTCGGTTATGAATACACTGACGCCACAGGGGAATACATTGAAATTCCCCACCTAAGAACGTAATTAGTGTAGCATTGATTCTGCATAAGGTTTTGCTGTAGTACCTTACATACGACTAATTCAAAAATAAATCATCATTAGCTAGCATTTTGAAACGGTGAACTACAACATTATGTAAGAGTTGACAAAATATATTTAGCAGTATCATATTCCCTATTCAAGAGCTGGTGAATATGAGACTTGTTATATATAGTATTGTAATGCTGAAGAATGTTCTAATGTAATACGTATTTACAAACGCATTTTTTAACATTTTGCTTATTTATATTTTAAATTGTATGTGGTTGTAACGAAACAGAATTGTAACGGAAGTATAGATTTGAGATACTGTTGTTAATTATAATTGTTATTCGTTTTCAAAATGAAAAAAAAAATATATGTAAAATTATTTTCTTCTCATTTGGACCCTGATAGTTTCTACAAAAAGGACATATTTTTGTAATGTCACTTATCTGGAAAGATTTCATGAAAATAAAAATTTGTTTATACAAATATAAAAATGTCGATCAAAATTGTCAGATGGCAAAACAACTTGTGTCAATTAAGATTTACTTGCACAATTTGGTCGCTAAAGGACTTCATATTTCTTTTTGAACACTTTTTAATTAACTTTCTCGCCTTAGTAAGAAAAAGTATTGTAATCCCCTCGCCGGAAAAGGGAAATTTTTCGGCAGAAAATCTGTTCCGAGCCTGTGTAACAAAAAAAAGTGAAAATATCTTCTTCCTGTGTGTAATAAATTACCTTCCCTCTGACAAGTGTAGTCAGAATCCGTTCCGTAAGTTCCTTGATCCTAAAAAATCTATTGACGTATAAACCGTCAGTTCCTCTGTTGTCAACGCTAGCGCCTCCTAAACCGTTCAGCCGATTTTCTCCAAAATAAATATTCCCCAATCAATTTAAAGAAACTCGAAGCCCTGCGAGATCAAAGTTGATATTTTAATTTTTGCAGGTACTTTATATGAAGCTTCAATTACATTTTCAAAATTTTCTCAAGGTGCAATTTTTTATTGAACTTTGTACTCAAGTGTTAAGACGCGTAACATTTCGTAGGTCTCATTTTTGTAGAAATACCTGATTTTAACATTGCGTTCATAAGTCTTCCTACAACCACTATATTGAAGATTTTCCCTTAATGTGTTGAAAAATAGATCTTGAAATGAGGTACAATTTTCGAAAATGACGGAATTTCCGCGTAATTTTGCGTAAAATTTAGGTAGTTTTTAAACTTTCTCGAAAGCTGCACTACTTTTGTTTCACATTTCTTCTCGAATGTATCAAAAACTGTAAAAACAAATGGTGTAATATATTTCCGTCGAACCTTAGATTTTTGAAAATTGCAAAAACATATTGCAAAACTGCGATTTTGAAAATGGATATTTTGTCAACAAATTCTGTCCTGAAAATCAGGACTTAAAAAAAAAGTAATGTACATTTCTTTTTAAAAAAAAGGTTGGTTTCCGTGAAATTTGTTTGGTATTGCAAATTATAAAATAATCCACGCCAAAAAGAATGACGCAGGTCTAATTTTTTGTTGAACACTCTGAATGTTATAAAATGTTAGAAATAATGCGTGATGTATGTGCTATTGTGGCTCTACTTGTTTTTGTTGCACTGGTTCCACACTAATTTCATATCTAGAGTGTTTTCGGGAGATTGTGATGTCAATCTTACAAACTTATAAAATGAAAGTCCCTGTTTTCGCGATTTGAATGAAATCTATTTGAAAGACACCTTTTGTTTGGTTTAAATTGAAAAAATTAATGGGAGCGAAGAAAACCATTTAGTTTCCCCTTGAGGTCCGTACGTAATCCCTTTTCCTGCATTTTCATGGATTAAGGTTGAGGTCGTCAATGGCATACCTTCCGTGTGGTAGAAACTATTTGTATTGGCAAATGATCTAAATTTTGGCTTCTCTCTCATCGCTCCACTCAAGAAAACGACTCGCTACGAGTATCATCAAAATGATTTGATGCTGCTTTGGTCAAATAACTAAATTATCCATTAAAACACCATATTGAAAGAAAATGTGCACAAATAGTGATGCTATATTTATGTCCAAAAGCTAAATAAAAACCATGATAGTCCAGGCATTACGTAGTTTACTAGTGAAAGTTGAGATTATTTTCTCCTTTGTTTCTTGGAATGCTGAATGCAAAGCTAAAGTTTGCCAAAAATAGTCAGTTGGAATTCAAACATAACAAAAAACCTTGAAAATAATGACTATATAAAAAACTATCGAATTTGGGTAAAAAATATTCTGCATAAAATTTCCTAAAACTTAGTTGCAACGTTTCGTTTAGGCTTGTAGCTCGGAGTCCTGTTGGAATGGCAAACCAAAAACCTTGTCAGTTCATTATAACTTCATTGCGAATAATTTTCTCTCTTACTTATGATATTTTTCAGTAGTATTGTACATTTTGTCAACAGTTTGTAATTGTAGGAATTATGATGCAGTATTGTTGACGTATTTTCACGAACTATGAAGAAATAATGAAGGTCATTTTTGTCAACTGAATATATTTATTTAGAGAGCTTTCGACGGCATTGCCGTCATCAGGATACAAATATAAACAAAATAAAAAGCAAATAAAATACAAAGTAAATACAAAATACAAATAAAGAAAGTACACATATAATTATGAAATTGCAATAGAATACACGAAGGAATGATAACAATCATTATAATAATAGTAATAATAATAGTATAAATAAACAAAAAGTGACATTACACAAATCTGTCATTTTTTTTTTTTTTTACAAATTTCGTTACCTATTTGAATTCGGCGCCAAAATTTGTGGTCAGAAATACATTCCAATTCAACTATTCTCCGTTTCTGCAATTTTCTTCAGCCATAGAAATTGCAATAGCAGTTGAGAAATAAAATAAAATATGAACAAACAATATGAAAAAAGTAAAATGTATTCTCATTGTATCTCTGCATCAGGTTGCCCTAGAAAGCTGATTATTTTGTGAATCTACGGCATATTTTATTCTCTTTCATATGAGTATAGCGATTATCGATTTGATTTGGGTGCAATTGTGCCTCCTTATTCTGGTATATCCTTTCTAGCAGAAAATAATAGTTCTGACAGCTACTATATCTAGTACTATTTAGATAATAAAATACAGAATATCATTCTACCGAATAGTTTCACAATTCATCAATAGATAGTCTGTTAAGTAATAATAAATCTATTATCTGTATTTAGGTGTATTTTACTCAGGTTTTCTTAACTTCATGCTGAAGTTATAATTATTTGTCCTATCACTTTTCTAATCCAACATTTATACGCACCTTTATTCTTAGGTTGCACGTATTTTAGAGTACTCTCCATCCATTTTGGAGTATCTTATTGAAAGAATAAATACAAATACGAAATTTACCATGTTTGCCCAAGTATTGAATAATTTACACTGTCCATGTAGAACTATGGCTGTAATTCTGTTGGATGTAATCAATGTTCATATAAATAACATACAAGTCGTAAAATTTCACCATTTATTCAAACTAAAATATATTTACAAAACTTAAATTTATTAACTTATGTCATTTAATTCTATTACATCTCTTTATTTCTTCTTGGCATTTAATTTTTGACCGACAGATTTATGAATATAAGCACATTTAGAATATGAAATTATAAAAAACTGTTATTTTGTCAGGAGATTAACATTACGGGACGTTTCGGGTAATCAATCATATTACCCATCTTCCGAAAGAACAATAATCATTTTCTATACAGTTAAATTAATTTTATCAATGAATTATTACTATAGCAGAGTCGAGTAGGGTTCCACCAATATGGCCGCCGCATGAACTCATTCTCATCAAGAGGAACTTCTATGGGCGACTCAATGTATACTTCTCTTTGTTCCCGCTCATCCCGGAGGCAAAAATGAATCTTGTATGCCGTGAGTTTTTGTTGTCTACACTCCTTGGAGCTCTGCAACGTTACACATTTCTCTTTGCAGTGTGTACTAACCTGTCAAACCCGTCTTCTGGTGTCCGTATTGCTGTGGTATTTTGAGTAACACATCGCCGATGCTCTGGAGTGGAAGTTTCCAGAAAATGGAAAAGTGAGAATTTGATGACGTGTTGAGCTGAATGGCCAGTGGACCGTTACCGAACACAAATCTTCGTTTCACTCAGGTTAGTTACAACAAATGCTACGTTCGATTTATATTTCATTACTTTTGTTACTTTAGTTACTTTTACAATGACAGTATAGTTGTAGACTGATATTACTTCTAACCTTTGTATATAATAACCTTTAAAATGTTTAACAATTTGATCGCTCAACAGCTATGTAATTGAATTTTTGATTGTAAAGGGGCAGCGTTTAAAACGTTTGTGCAAAATGATTTTGTTCATTTCTGTTGATGTTTTGAACCCAATTTTACTGTTATCGTTACAATTGGATTTTCTGTTCTGGCAACAAAAATGGTAAAAAAGGAGGCCCGGATAAGTATTACCTATAATTAGGGTTGCCACCTCTCCGGTTTTAGACCGGAGACTCCGATTTTTGAGCTTCATCTCCGGTCTCCGGTTTTTGAAAATATCTCCGTTTTTTTTTTTTCCAATTTCCAATACACTTTCAAATTATTTTACAAAAATAAATATTGTTTTCAACTTAAAATTTAAAAGAGCGTTTTTTCTATTTCATCAGAAAGTCCCTCGTCCATTTCCTTCTCCCTATTAATAAGAGTTCAACAGAGTCAGAAACAATGAAAATTGCGGTTCTTACCGGACTGTCTCTGTGTATTCACTCGCAATCCGCTGTCTCTTTCTTTCTACGCATATCAGACAGAGACAGCAATCTAGCGATTATGCGAGAATCGCATCGCGCACAGTTTCAAGAATAAATCCCCCGGGAACGCTATTCCGATAATTCTTCATTTTTTATGTTAAATTTTATCTATCCCAGTAAGCAACGCTCCTGTTGAGAGGATTTTTTCGATAATGTTTAATGTTTGGACCTATAATCGAAACAAATTAAATCTAAGCGTCGTAAAATCTGAGTTATTTGTAAAATTGAACTGCGACTTGACTTGTGATCAATTCATTGATTTTCTTAAAAAACCTGAGCAAATATCTTTGCTAAAAAAAGCTCTGAGCAACGAAAAGCATAGCTGGAAAAAGTAGAATGTTAGCAAAGTGTAACACTATTTTGAATAAATGTTAAATATTTATAGATCACTAAAAACCAAAGATATGTAAATATATTTTAAAGAATGAAATAAATAAGTCTGCGTCAATTTCTTTTTAGATTTCAGTAATTACCCCCCCCCCGGTCGCAGCGGTCTCCGATTTTCTGGAATTGGCAAGGTGGCAACCCTACCTATAATGCTAAAAGTGGAGCTGTTAGGGTTGTTCGTAGTGTTTGGCATGCAGCATATAAGTAGCATCTCGTAAATCGAAGATGAAAATCGTCTTGATTTAAAATCTGGTGTCTTGGGAGCAAAAATGATGCTCGAATCGAGTCAAATTAAACTTGCCTGTCAATTTGGTTCGTACGTTTCTGTATATTGACATACTACTCTCCACATATGAAGTACTCTCCCCATATGAAGAAACGATTGACGTAGTTCCACATATGACGTTAAACATCTGAGGAAAAAAGTATTTTTAGCGTTTGGACTGTAACTTTTGAATTTGTTCAGAAATATTACGTGTTTATGTAAAGTAAAACGGGTGACTTTATACACCATTCAACTTTGTAAGGTGCCCACTAAAGCTATAACCTTAGCAATACAAGGGTAGAAACGGTTCCGTGCATTAGCAAAGGGGGCCCTCCGGTGCCCATTGATTATATTTTTATTCCATTAAGGTATTGCAGAATTTTGCTAAATAAATTGTAACATTTAATATGGATGTTTACTCATTTGAACAAATGTTTGAGTTTCAAGTTCTACAGTTGAAAGGAAAAAAACGTTTTGGAACAATATCTGTATTAAACAATAATATTAAATAAATGCCAAAGTATCTACATAATACAGAAGTGAATTTGACTAAAAAATACTCAAATACTGTAAATACTAAAAATATTTTCAAAATGTATATATTAAAATTTTCAGTTTTCGAGTGAATAGTCTCTGGGTTTTTGTACCCACAGCCAAATTCGCCGTAATAACTCAAATTCTAGTGAAAAATTATTTTCAGCTTCCTAAAAAATGAATCCTTAAAAAACAGCAAACCAGTAAATAAGTATCGGTGGCCCTCAGATCCTCACCAGTGGTAATTCTTGGGTTAATGCAAAGTAGAATCGCTATGACTCAAATGTAAAGACTATGCTTGTCCTAATACCTCACATATGAAGCATTATAAAAACACTTCATGTATATCAGATTTTAAAATTTTTGAAAAATGATTAATGATTTGAAATTAATTATGAAAAATGATTAAAAAGTTTGACTGTTTTAAATCACCCCTGGAGTCAGGGTGACTTGATATACCTGGGGATTTATAATGCTATCTCATATTCCTGTAAATCAGGTGTGTTTTGATACTTATAATGTGTTAAAATAGGGTTCTGTAAGTTAATGTGTAGGAAATGTTTTTCTGTGATTATCACAAAATAGAGCGGATTATTTTTATTAAATTTTAATGTGAAAAAATACAAAAAATAACGGTTTTGTAAGTAATACTCTAGACATACAATATTAAGGCAATATTAAGTGCAAACTTAAAACTGTTAGCGGCTTTTTACTTAAGATTTTCTTACACCGTGGACCATACCGAAGTTGTTTGGATGCGGTAAACGTAATTCAAATTCATAGGGATACATTTCACTTACGTTATTCACAACAGGTCACGGAAATCTATTTGGACTATTACTTTTTCTTCTTACAAATTTATTTCTACAGCTATGCACCTCTAGATGAATTTCCTACATTTTTATCATGTCTTTCAGCCAAATTAACACGAAACTACTCATATTCTTGAAAAATTGTGCATGACCTCGTTTTAAGATCCATCTTTAAAAACAGATTCAGGAAATAAATTCAGGAATAAACTCTATCTTCAACATTCTATTTGTAGGATGACGCCCCAAAAAATGGATTTTTGCACTTTTCGAAATATTAGGTATTACTCCGAAAATGAGACTTGTGCCATTATCTTAAGAATTCTTTACTCTCTTAGAGAACAAAATTTGATTTAAAAAATTGGCAGTCCCTCAAAAAAAATTGAAAAATGTTGAGGTTTCATGTGAAGCACACCTTAAAATCAAAATATCAGTTTCAAATTCCCAAGGACCTTTAGATCGGTTAAATTAATTGAGGAATATCAATTTTGGGGAAAATCGGCTGAACCGTTTTAGCTATTTTTCTTAGTTTTGACCAAGGTTAGTTTTGAACAAGGATGGGCAGACTGACGTTCTGCCGTGAATACATTTTCGGTATCACGAAAACGAAAAGCAATTATTCTGCCACACGCACGTGTTAGAGAAAATTATTTACTATATACTAGTGTTCAAAAGCTCCCATTAGAAAAAAATCTCCCCAGTCAGATCCTAAGCCGATTGTCATGATGAATGACAGATCCAGTTTTTCCGAAAAAAGTTTTGTCATCGAGAAAATAGAGTTTAAATGTTACCTCCTGACGCGAAATTCAAACCAGCTTCCGCGTAACAGCAAACACCGGTGCGGCATGTGCAACGGGACTAGCTGTAGCTTAGTTTTTCCGCGTTTCCGTGACAGTGAACAGGAACCAAGCTTAATGAAAATTAAGCGAAAGCTCCCTGAATGCTAGAACGAGTTTGGCTGTTTCACAAGAGCTACACCAGCGTTTGCGAACTGGCGGAGATATGATGTCGGAGCTCTGTTCCCCTACGCGAGAGCCTCCTCGGAGAAGCGCTGCGAGCAAAGGGGGAGGGGGGAGGGAGGAAGGAAGGAAGGGGCAAACGGCGGTCGCCTATAACGAAATCCAGTGGGCCACGCCGATGTTTCAGGGAACATGAGTGGGAGACGATCTGTACCCGTCAATTTTCATTCAGATTAAGGTTTCCTTTTGAAGATATCGTAACAATGGCGAAGTGTTATCGAAGCATATTCGAAAGAACTGCGGTGTGTTAAAAAGTTCAACCGACAGAGGCTTTACGCAGCTTTTCAACTAAGAGAAACCCGCAAGGTGGAAATAATTTCTGAGAATTAAGATAGCCTGCAATCATGAAATGAGAAAAGTATTTTCCAGAGAGAAGATTATGGAAAAGAAATTGAAAATCACAAGTATTTACCACAATCTCAAACGAAACTGAACTGTGTAAATAATAAAACCTGGAGTCCAAATTTTTCCACGTGACCCTTCGCGGGTATCTATTTGTTAACATTAATTACATAGGCATACAAAATTAAAATGTTGTCAAACCCAATCCGAATCCGAAGCTAGAATTGCGCCATAACCGCCGTTTTTTTTAATCGGAAGAATAACGTGACATTGTATTTTTTTTGTTTTCCGGTGTTGTCAGACCCAAAGACTTGACACACGTTCTATGTGTGTTGACGCGCCTAACCAGATTCGGAAGCCATAATTGCCCAACGCCCTCCAGTTTGTCTGAATCGCGAAAAAAACACCGTGAAATTGTAAATTTTATTGTTTTTTAGCAATTTAAAAAATTGCATTTCCAGCTTTGAGTTCGGATTTAGCGCTTAAAGAAACATGTGTCAAGTCTTCGGTCTGAGAATAACCCCGAAAACAAAAAAGAATACAATGCCACATTGTTTCGGATTCAGCGTTGTGACATACATAGAAAAATGTGTCAAGTAATTTGGTCTTTTTTATTTTATTTATTTACTAATTTTATTTTGTGTGCCTGTGTTATTGGTTCGGAACGAAATAAAATTGTTATATTGTATAACATTCTATAAACGTTTGTATTAGAATGTTAAAAATGCCTTCTCTATAAACGTGGTTTTGTTTTATGAAATAATCAGATATTGATCTGTGCTATGAAATATTCTCCATTCTAATCATTAATTTTTCATATTTTTATAGAACCATAAACATTTAAATAATAATTACCATTTTAAAACTTAATTATCGAGTGAACATTTCCCCCCTACTTTCGTAGCATCATTGGAACAATGTACGCCCGCCGCCGTGTCCGGTACTACCTTTGCTCCGAGGCTCACTTCCGTCCAGTAGAGCAGATTTTTCTGACGTAGCAGAGCGTTGAGCACTGTCATTAACATTATTTTAATGCAGTAGCCTCTTTTAAGAATATATTACGCAATTTTAATTAGCAAAAATTTACAATTTAATAATTTATATATGTAACCATTGCATGTATATGCATATATTTGTGACCACTTTCCCTCATTACGAAGCTGAATAAGAGATACCAACGAGGAAACCTCTTTTGCGACAATCATGACATTAGCATAACTCTTGTTAAATAGAACGCAAAGAGCTTAATCTTTTTTACACAATGTCGTGAACGATTATGAATCAATAGTGATTTGAAATTAGAAATATATAATGCACTCTTGTCGAACTTTAGTATTAGTAAAGTAAAATGTGATTATGATTTTTGAGAAAAATATTTTTATCTTTGATAGAACAGTCTTAATTAATTAAGCTAGTCAATGAAAAATAATTTGTCATTATTAAACAAAACAATAATTTTGTGTTTACCGGCCCGCTAAATTTGCTATTACATCGTAGCAAAGCAAATTCCATTATTAGTCCTACAAGGAATTACAATACTGGTATCCAAATCAAATATGCATGTCCAATTTATTTTAGGTTCACATAGTCATACATCGACAAACATTTCGAAAATAAAAGGTAGTGATACTTGAACTGTATGTAATAGTCCGTCATATTCTCGCGATTTGTTTCAATGTACGAGCTGCGGTTCGAATTCTCATTGGCGGTCCCCACTTATAGAATGAGTGTTATCCCCACCCATCCAAGCGACCAGGGTTTCCATTTTAGTTTCTCGCACGCACTGTTCCCGAGGTCAGTCAAAGTGTAGAACGCAGTGCAGGCCTGCGCTACACGATAGTGGAACATCGACTCCGCGACTCAAGTACCTAGCAAAGAGTTCTCGCACATGAACGTGAATTTTGGCCTTCCTTTTCCTGCTCCGATGGCAGGTCATTGCTCCAAAGCCATGTAATAGTTCATGAAACTGTTTTTGAGTGAAAATGGCAACGAGTTGGAACAATTTTTCTTTGAATGTTTCTCCTGTGTTGTAGATAGTAGTTACGTACATTAAATGCGACTCTTACTTGCTTTCCAGTTACCACTTACGTAGTATAGAGAAAGTTTATGTAATGCTGCGCGAAAAACTGCGAATTTTTGGCAGAAAAACTCTCATTACAGGGCCCTGGTAAAGTGGATAAATCCAGTTGTAAAATTTAGAAAAAACTCGAACACGTGGTGTAACCAGAATAAATGTTTTGAGAGTCATTGATACTGAAAAATCGAATGACAGCAAAACGTCTGTCCGTCTTCATTTGAACGACGGTAGCGGCTAAGCCATTCAGCCGATTTACTGCCCAAAATTGATATTCCCCAATCGACCTGGCTGATGTTGCGGCCCCTTCAATTTGAAACCGATATTTTAATTTTCTGGAATATATTACGTGAAGCCCCCTGGGACATTTTGCAATTAAAAAAAATGCTCCATCGTTTTGGATTTAATGTTGTTAGTGTGAAGGTCGTTTAGGACAATGGTGCTGATCCCATTTTCGTTAAAAACCATGAATTTTCGAAAATTACAAAAGTTCAAACTTTATTTGGTGTCGTCCTAAAACTACAATTATGAACATGGAGATTTTTCCATAAATAAAATATTTTCCTTAAATATAGAGTTTGATACAACATGCACATTTTTTTGAAACTTTGAGTACTTTTGACGTAATTTTGCGTGAAATATAGGCAATTTTTAATTTCGTTTAAACAATCTGCAATGAACAATGTTCTCTAAAGCACAAGACATTTGTCCATACTGAAGATATGCAAAAAATACTTCAAGCATTCTAGAAATTTTGTTAATTGCCATATGCCTTGGTTTGTGATTAGCCTTTAATGACAAACTGTACAAATCGCCAATTGATATGATTTGATAGAATGACATAATGATTTAAGTTATAGATTAACACTACGTTTATGCTTTCATTCACAGCGAACAATGACGTATATTTATTAATTCTGAGTTGATCATTGACCAACTAATTAAGCATTCTGCATGATTTCTGCTGATACCATTCCCACCTAAGTATTGAAAAATGCCAAAAATAATATTCTTATAAAAAACTTGATTTAACGGTTCCTGCAAATGTCATGAATGTTGAAAATGATACGTCTTGTAGTTCTGTACAGAGAATCAATTACAGATTAGTTGAAGACGTCATTGCCAACAATATTATTTAATGCAAGAGCAGCTTTCGATGGCTTAGCCATCATCATCAATTGCCTGCTGGATGGAAGCCACAAAAACGAGTCGTTTTTGTGGCTTCCATCCAGCAGACAACTGATGATGATGGCTAAGCCATCGAAAGCTGCTCTTGCATTAAATAATATTGTTGGCAATGACAACGTCTTTAATTATTTTATGAAAAATGCCAAAGATATCACACCACAACACCCATACAGATTAGTCTAACAGTACGTGGATTTTGTCCTCCTCAAAACAATATAATTTAAATAATGTATTTTTTAAGTTTGAACTGCAATTCACGAGTACGAATATTCAGAAAGGAGGCGTAAATGGTTATTAGTTATAGGTATTTATTAGTTTGAGGTATTTATCAACTATGTCAACGACACTCCATGGAATATATTGGAGAATTAAGATTTTAGCTAATAAGAGTTTTAAATAATTATGAGACAGCTTTCCGTCCGAGATAATTGATAGTTAACTCTAGCATTTCAATGTCAAAGGTAATACGGAACTTACATTGACGATTCTAACCATACTTTGTATTAGAGATGGCATTCTTATCAAATAATTCCGAAGAAGCTGGTGATCCATGTCTGATCCCATATTTGCCTGGCCGACAGGTGGATTGCGATTGGATCAACTGATTGGAAGATCCTGGATAGTATGGTTATCCTGGATGAGTATCCTGGCTAGTCTTCAAGGTCACAATTACCGGAACGGAATTGCCCGACACGTCGTCTTCACAGCCGGAGTTCGTCGCGTGGTCAATGGACCTATCCGAGAAGACGCATCTCCTGGCGCTTTCGAGATGCTCCCAGCACACGGCGATCTAGTTACGTCCGTGGTCAAAAACTTTCTTCTCCCTTGACGACTCCTGTGACCTTCGCCAGTTGCCCCACAATCTTCTACGCAAACTGAAACTTTGAGTTCTGAGCCAGGTCTATTGTTACCTGTTGTCTTCCAAAGCATCATATTCATTATCATCGGCTTGGACTTCGGAGTCACTTCTTCCACTTTTCTAATATTTATCATAGCTAATTTCCCGTTATTTCCCTTAATTTTCTGATTTTTATCATATCAAAACCATCTGTTTTTCAAGATAATTCGTTCTCAGCAAGGATAAAAATGATGTTCTCAGAAGGTTTTACCTCGCCAAAAGCAAAGTTGGTGTCTTCCTTATCGGATTGTGTTGATTTACACGAGTCAGTTTCGGAAAAGCTTGAAGTCAAATCAGCTTCTTTCTCTCTCCCGTTGGAAATGTCTCCGTTGGTCATGCTGGAAGGGAATAGCAACAGTACAGAATTAGATCCCTCCGCAAACTCAGTTATGGTGGCAAGGTCATTGGGATCATCCTCTCTAACTACGCAATGTGACACCGCTCTAGATGAAACAAGATCGAAACTATGTTTTGATGACTCGCCGCCATTTGGGTTGCCTTTGCCTCTCAAGCCACAAATCGTAGCCCCAGTAGGGAAGTCGCAAAGTAATACCATTAGTGCAGAGTCAATTCCCACTACAAATGCAGCAATGTTCGCAAAACCAAAGAAATCCATGGACCACATAACGCTGCCAGAAGTAGTGCAGACTGAACCAAGAACTACCATATTTTTCGACGACTTGCCGTCATCTCAGCTACCACTACCCCTTCGTCCACAAACCGTAGAACAGTCTGACATGTTGGAAGGGAATAGCGACCGTAAAAGTTTACTTCCGATCGCAAACTCATTTTCGGCGCTATCTGGGTTTCGTCGTTTGACGCTGACTGACACGAAGTCGGGATATTCTTTTGACGATTCGCCGTCTCTTTGGTTATCGCAGCCTCGATCACCAACAGCAACTCCGCCTACAACGTTACCATGGACTAGCATTGACACACGTCTACTGCCCACCGTCAACACTGTAGATGTTTCGTCGCCATCAGTCCCATTCAGTCTGACTCCACCGGATGCTGTTGCGACCCACTCAAAGACGGAGCTGTCTCTCGAAAACATATCACGGAAGCCTCTCGTACCACTTACTTCGCTGAAGTCGCGAAAACGAAAGTGCCATTGTAAACGTCGTAAACCGAGACGTAGTAATAGTATGAGGCAGTCGAGCAGAAAAGACTGGGAGGGTGCGAAACGTGAAGACAGACTGGCAGAGTCCATTTTAGGTAAGGACGATATCGCATTTCACACGGTCTCCGCAGGGTTACAGCTTGGTAGGGAGAATGGAAAAAGATTGAGGTTAGAAACCGGAAGCAAAGAAAGACCCCTAGAGGGGCTTTTCATTGAAGAACATTCATCTCGTACGCTGTCTGCTCGCCTAGATACGTCGCGCGAGCTTGTGACTAAGGAACACGTGCCGACACAAATTGAAAACGGTTTGTACGACGACTCGTTGGTCACCTGCTGGCTGCCTCCGCCGTTGCTCCCTCTGTTAGAAGAGACGCGAAAGGAAGCACTGGCTCGACATTCAGACGTCGCCTCGGCCTCTAGGTCATCGCAGGCCTCTTTCTTCCCGTCGGCGGCTGCGACGGACTCTTTTCAGAAGATGCCACGGGAGACGTCTACACTTGATGCGGACGTCGCCCCCGCCACTGACTCATCGCAGCCGCTCCAGCCTGATACAGGAAACGCCATGCTGGAACGTCCAGAAAGGGGTGTAGTAGAGATGATGTCGAACGAAAATTGTGCAACCACTGACCCACCGATCGCTCAGGATGGAAGCAGGAAAGAAACAGAAACTCAGCGAGTGAGCAAGTCAATCAAGAAAAGTTTATTACTCGGCGAAAAAGTCACAATCGCGAAGAACAAATCTAAAGATACGGGGAACTTCCGGTTGGAAAAAACGAACGAGGATAAGGAAGGACAATCGTATGAAGAGGATATCGATCAGGGTCAAGAAATCGTTTGGGAGAAATTGGAGATAATAGAACCTGCGGATCTAGTCGGGCACCTGAACGACAAAAGGGAGGCGACTTTTACAAAGAATTCAATCTCACCACAATTATTCTCACGAAACACTGGGACTCCCAGACAGAGCGTTGTGACCGCACAGGAATTTATTTTACCACATCGTCGAGGGGTCTCATTGCCTACGTCAAAAGAAAAGCTGAATAAAGTGGTGTTACAAGAATCAAAAAATACAAAACAAGGGAGACGCAGACATACTATTTTACTCTCCGAGGACAAAGACGAATATTTGACTAAGACTCCAGCACCCTCACGCTGTTGGCGCGCAAAAGAAACGAAGACCAAAACAAGTGGTGGGACATGCAAAGAACCGTCTACCGGTGAGGAGTCAGCTGAACACAAACAAGAATTTTCTACCAACACCTCAACACCTAGCGTGATTGCCCAAGGACCTCTTGCGCCGAAACCCGTCGAAGTTGAACGCTTGTCCCCACAGTTGCAACTTGAAGAGAGAAACATACGGGCAGGAGATGTGGAACGGGAATCTACAATTCTAAGGGAAAGGGTTGCCGAGAATTTCGTACTACGCCACGAAAACAGGGAAGATTTTTCCAAGAGCCCGATGCCAACGCACTCCATTCCCCAAGAAACGCAAACAAAAAACAAGGACGAGGCTCTGAACGCAAACTCTAGAAGCTTCGAAATGGAGTCGGTAGCGGTACAAGATAGTGGATTTTCATGGACAAGTGCAATTTCCAGGAACGAGAGAGCTGACGCGCATTCCGAACATAAAGAAGGTTATGTCACACATTCTCTCCGTCCAGCAAAGTGTGAGATTTCCCTACAGGCAACAGAATCTCGAAAGGATACCACCGTCTCTGAATCCTTTTCTCTGGCAGAGACCGCGGTGGATCAGTCATCTATTGCGCAGGCGTCGACATCAGTGGGAAAAACGTGCATTCTGGGTAAAACGATGAACAAGAAGTTTGGGTTGGACAAAGACAGCGTGGTTGGGTCACCCCTGCCGTTGCAGTTGTCGGCCCGACCGTCTACCTCGCAAGAGTCCGTCAGGGCAAATAAAGGTAAACACTATAATGAAGCCATTATCGTTTTTGTATCATTGCCGACCCCAAAATTGTGTGTAGATAGGTATGCGGAAACTCCCACTAAAAAATATTCTACAGATTGTGATTAATTTCATAAAAAATGCCAAGTTATTTTTTTGTTCGAAAAAAAAAATCTTAGAGAAAATTAGGTTTAAAAGCCAGTCCGGGCGCAAAATTCCAACAAGCTGCCAAAACACTGCTGTCACTGCAGCGTCTACGGCACTGGCATTACCGCCTTTCTCAGTGTTATGGGTGAAACTGTTGATGAGGAAAGCATCGAGTTCCGCACACTAGAGTACGTAGATATTAGTGGTCTGCATGTTATATTTAGTCGATCAATTAAATAATGTTGTACGTACTTAAAATGCAACTTAATTCAAAGTAATTAATTATTAACTAATTAATTAATTAATAATTAATTAATAAGTAATTAATTAATAACTCTGAATTAATTGAGCACGATCCAACACGTAGAAATTAAAGTGAATTTCCTGGAAAGCTCGATCTCTTTATTTTTTTGCATTTCTTCAATATGAACTATTCCCGCGTGTTTTAGAAAGCCACATAAATGTTAGTATCCTTCAGTCCATTCTTAATATCACAACATAAAGATTCTGCGGGGCGGGGGGGGGGATCATAAAATTGTTGCGCTTATTAGTCGCCTCTGGATGCGGGGTTTCAAATAATGCTTGCGGCAGTCGTTTTATCTGCAGGCGACCCGTGCTCCGGAAAATCTTCGCAGAAGACATGTGTGCAGTTTCACAATCCTTCACATTGTCCAGGATAAACAGAGATAAATTGTCATTGCCGGCCTGTATAGCTGAAGTCGCTAAGGGTAAGGGCCGTAGTTGGACTCGACGGGTCGACGGGTCGTGGTTTCGAATCCCGCTTCGGGCATGGATGTTGGTGTGTGTGTTCGTGATGTTCCTACGTGTTGTTCCTTCAGTTCCCCCTACAGATAAAATAATCACAGTGGTCGCTATATTACCAAGATGTTAAAAAGCAGTCTAAAAAAATTGGCATCTCCAAATATGCCAAGTGTCGATAAACCACGTCAGTGATATTAAAAGACAAGAACCGTCAAGGTAAATCATTAGAAGTATTGAGGTATTTGATTGCGATAAGTGGTTAGACGTCGCAAGCGAAGGTTAGAATGCACATTCAAGTTTGAGAAAGGATACCAGAAGTCGTTTGTCGCTACTCCGAATACGCAGAGTATAGGCTAGCTAGTTTAAAAAAAAACACTACCACCAATGTATTCCTTCCAGAAGTGTTTCTGCCCACATGATTACCGTATGCGATAATGATATGATACGATTTTCAAGGATCTCATGGAATGCCTACTGTGTCCTTAGTTGTTCTGGAGGAGGGAGACAACCTTCATCAAAGGACAAATACTGCTATCAATTACCAACTCTGAATAATAATTTATCATGGTATTTAAAGTAGGCAATGTCGATGGCATTATATTTAATTGAAGTCTAGATGACTTCTTTTTGTATGATTTCCACTCGATGTAGTATTTAAGTCATGATATTAAAAAGAAACTGCAATACTATCATATATGTTCCTACCTTAAACACACGTCCCTAGTTAATACAGAAGAAAAACAAAAACTCATAATTCGAGTATTCCAGGAGATCTGTTTATTATCATGCGTTTTGTATCGTCTCAGCGATCATTCTTACGCCAGTGGGTCGATTGGTAATTATTTTGAATGAAACAGCATTTTAAGTATATATTACATTATTTAGTAGATTGATTTATAGAACACATAAAACAGTTGTTAAAATTAAAGTACTCTAAAGAGCAGCTCACGACGTTTTCCTCACACAATTTATCATCAGTTTTTCCGATAACACGGGCAAACTAGAAGATGCAGTATCAGGGGTCGCGGAATCCGTTTTGAATATCGTACCCGGAAGCGAGTTAGAAAACCGTTTTCTCGAAGTTTTTTTTGAGGGGGGGGGGAACAACTGAACCTGCCAAACTTTCTGAAATTCAACACAGATTCTGGAATATTTTTTGTAATGGTGGACATTCAGTATTTTTTTGTAGCAAACTTTCGGATATCCAGTAAGTTTGTGGGTACATGTTTATTAAAAATATATCTCTGTCCTTTGATTACCGATAAACATTTAAATAATTTTTCAGTTTAGTTTTCCCAATAGTTGTCTACGGGAACCAACCTCAATTTTGTTGTCACAATCAATGCCATTTGGGTAAGCATGGTCCAGTTTATATCCTAGCCCCAAAATTAGGTTTCTCACAAGTAAAATAAAAAACATGCATTACTCTTAGACACTCATTACTCCAGGGACCAATGACCCTGGAAGTTGACGTGCCCGGAATCACTAATCAATCAATCAATCAATCAATCAATCAATCAAAAAATATTTCAACAATACTTAATACAATATTAAGTTTAGGAGATGCCTTTCCTTATTTCTTCGTATAATTATCTCAACAATTCCGCATCAGAATTCCTTCAAATCCTGTGTGGGCCCTATGCTAATAAAGTTTGCGCTATCTCAAACCATCCATTCCATGGGAATATAGTCCATCCTGGAAATGAGCTAGTATCTTCTTCGAAACTTGCTTCACCAGCCTCTGGATATTTGCATTCAAAATCTTTTGCTGGAACTTGATATGTCTTCCTATCACCATGATACTTCCAAGCAATATTTCCAACCCCCTTGGAAACTTCATCCCAATCTTGACTTTAAAATCTCAAACCTTCCCCCAAAATACTACTAGATCCCATGTATACAAAATCAAGTTTCACAACATTAGTGCATCTCCGATCATGTATGAGGACTTAACAAAAAAAAATGTTTAGTAATGGGGTATGAAACACTGAGACATATTTATTTTAAAATTACTTTATTATATAACGTTATTGAAACTTATTTTTTTGTTTAAATTACAAGATATTTTGCAATGAAACAATTTTAGATGTCTTTATTAGGGAATAAAAAGAAAAATAATTACAAATGAAATTAAAATGAAAGGATTAGAATAGTTTTCATTTTCAATCTATAGAAAATTGCGTGAAAAAATATTCTTTACTGAAGTTAAGTTATTTACATTGTTTTTGATAGTACATAATGATATTAACACATTATCTTGATCAGCATATTTTCAAGGGATCAAAAGTGCAGGTCTGAAATTAATTAGAAATTGAAGGGCTTGGAAGCACAGTGCATATCCACAACTTGGCAAAAAATGAAATATTACACTCTACCCAACCCCTAATCATGTCAGTGTGTCTCTGTAGTATAAATTGTGACAATAAATAGCAGAGTAATAGAGAAGTTATTTTGGATTCCTTATAGTTATACATAACTCACAATCACATTCTGCATTTTAATTCAGTTTCAGTCTGAAGTGGTATGCAACAATCTCCTTCCAAGCTCTTCAGTTGTATGAACAGGAAATCTTTATTTATGTGACAACAGGGTTTAATACAAAATTAAATGTATGTAAAACGTATGTCATTAGATATCAACGATTTCAGGCAAATAGTAGTCTTATAGCTATTTCCTGCTACCTAGGTCAACAACTTTCTTTAGAATCATAGATTCATTATTAACTAGTATAGTCTATGTAGAAACAGGGATGAATTAATGCACAAGCAGATAAAGAATGTACTCCTATTTTACTCAGCTTTTTTATTAGTTTGTTATGACTGTGTCAAATTCTTTTGAATAGTTGATTAAGACTGCAATTACACATTGTCCTTTGCTTAAGTTGTTGAAAATAGTCTATTAAGTCCGATAGCAATGATTCATTAGTTTTTCCTTTCTGGTATCCATATTGGTGGAGAATATTCTTTTCAGTCTGATATTGTCTAATTTTTGAAAAACATATTTTACAATGACAAATTGACATGGAACGATAGTTTGAGAGATCTATATTGTTACTTTTTAATATTTCAATATTTTTATTTATAAATATTTTAATATATTATAAATTTAATATTAATATTAATAATAATTTTATTAACATTAATTTTAATATTAATATTTTATTTTAAAATATTAATTTTATCTGTTAATGAAGATTTTACAACTTCTGAGAAAACAACAGTTTCAAGTGCATTATTTGTGAGTATCCTTATCAGTTCACAAAACTTCTGCACATTATTTATTGTGTCTATTACTCTAGTACCATTATGACCAGGAGATTTTTTAACATTTCAGGTAGTTTTTCTGTCCAGAAGGTTATTTCTTTGCAGCCAAAGTGTTTTGTATTGTTTGTTTTGTTTTCAAAATTGCTAGTAAAATATTGCATTTTGGCTCAATTTGTTTTATTATTTAGACTATTCCTAAATTTATTACATTTAGTTCTATATTCATAGTTGTGAGGATTGAATATCCATGTTCTAAGTAATCTGTCTTTCATTAGAATGCACATGTATTACCATGCTTTCTGTCCTTTCAATTTATAGAATTTGTGTCCCTCTTTATCATAATTTCTGCATTGTTTTCATTTATGGAATAGAATGTTTTTATAACTTTGTTTACAAACATATTAGGATATACCTATATTGGCGCAATTTTTCCAGCCATACTTTTAAAGTTGTTTTTACATTTTCTTATTGTTAAATTTTACTATATTTTCGTTCTTTTTATCCTTCCTGCATTTAGTGTAAAAGTACAAAATGGGATTTGATATTTTATGTTCGGTAACTCCTGAATAGTTATCATTATTACATCTAATGTATTATATAATATGGTGCATAAGCAAACTATCCTAGAGACCTATAAACGTTACCTTATTGTCTCTTATTTCTTCTCATGTTGCACTTTTAATTACACACACAATGTACTTGCTATACAATACTGTTCTGTATTCTTACACTACATGACTTTCTTTCTCCAGTGTGATTATGATTTTATATCTTATGTATGCAATGTTATGATCTCCTCCTTTCTCTATCAAGATATTTAGATATTTTATGAATTTAATTAAGT